AAAGCATATTGTCGAGGGCCTGTAGGTGCGTGTGTACGCGTGTTTGGAAAAGTGAGGGTTCTTTGTCACCCCAAGAAGCTGGGAAATTGAACTTTAGGAGCGTGTTCCCGTCTCACATGTCATCCTCCCATTTAAAAATTATTGGCGACGCGCACTGGGCGGGCCCGTGCGATCATGCGTTTTTGCAGTTTCGTGCTGTAATATGATCACTCGAAATTCCGCTAGCTAGAAACCTCTGACATACTCTTCCTCGAATTTCGGAAAGTTAAGTGTCCACGCTATACTGGACAGGGAACATCCCCTTGAAATCCCAGGTTCCCAGCTTTCTCAGTTCCCGAGTTACCCAAATTCTAGCCAGAAAATTCCACGGGGCCGTACGTGGCAACCAAGCATGGCTGGGGCCTGGATTTGATAAATTTAAGTAGTAGATGAGCTAGGAACACTTCCTGAAAGTTTCAGCTCCTCTGCCTCCCTGGTTCAGGAGTTATCCATTTTCCGCCAAAACTTTCACGAGGCCGTACGTGATAACCACGCATAACGGGGGCTGAATTTGATAATTTTAAGTTGCAGATGAATTGGAAACATTCGCTGAGAGTTTCAGCCCCCAGCTTTCTTGGTTCCTGAGCTAGCGATTTTCGCGCCAGGAACCCTCACGGGGCTGTGCGCGGGAAACGCGCACACCTGGGGCTGAATTTAAAATCTTTGAGTTCTACATGGACGAGGAACGTAATCCTAAAATTTCAGCTTTCTAGCTTTTCTGGTTCCCAAGTTAGCGATTTTCCCGCCAAAACTTTGAGGCACTCGTACGCGCGACTAAGACGTGCGTGAGGGTTGGTACCGCGGTCCTGGGGTTGCATTTGGCCGGGAACCCACTCGCAAAATTTTGGCGCTGGAGGTTGCTTAGGCGCCGAGTTGAAACACCCGGACAGACGCACACCCGGACAGACGCGCACACCCACACACACACACACACCCATACCCACACACACACACACACACGCACACCGGGGTCGTGGCAATATGCGTTTTCACATTTGTATATGTAAAACGCATAATCATAATCGCGTCAAGATCTGGCGTATCGATCCCTTAAAGAAATATATAAATTTTTTTGCGAGAAAGCGATTTCGGAAACCAGCAGATGCAGAATATCAACTGAGCAAAAAGAGGGGAAGACTGGATGGATTGGAAAGTGGCCGGATTTGCCCGTATAGGATTTTCGGGGGAAAACAGGGGTGTAAGTGTTGCACAAGTTGCAGGTTGTTAACTCAGTCCAGAATCTCACTAAACTGGAGCACAAAGATTTTTTTGAGGAAATCAAAAAAAGAAAAAAC